TTTTGATTCCTGTAGTTTTGTAGTAAGTTATGAAATCAGGAGGTGTGAGTGCTGCAGCTTTGTTCTTTTTGTAGCTATTATCATTTTAAAGATTCCGTTCTAGTAGAAAATGCTAAGTTTCCATAATTGGAGGCTTGGGCGAGAAAGAGGGAAATGTTGAGTCTGACTGAAGCTTGAAACCTGGGGGGTTGAGTGTCTAGCAAAGCCACCAGCTAAATGGGACACTGTGATGGTTAGAACTCAGACGAGAGGACTGGCAGGATCAGTGCCATCTTGGCAGTCGTTCCACTCACACATTTAGTAGGGGCACCCTTTACCATGTTTTGACCAAAAATGCCATTGATTTTTAAGATACCATTATTTTATGTCCCACTAAGAAAATATGCTCTCAGTAATTATGACATGCTATTTATTAACCATGAGGCACAACCGATTCAGAGACACAAAAATGTGGGGGAAAACATATGTCTTAGAATTAAGTAAGATGTATGCCAGGCACTGTGTCAGGCGTCATGACAGGGGAGTGGGATACAGCCAAGAAGAGACCCTGCCTTCAAAAGGCTTCCAGTCTCAGAGTGACACCTGCAGACTCTGACACCGCAGGGAGCAGTGGGAGGAGCCCTACCACGCAGGCGCCAGAGCTGTTCTGAAATCAGCTGCTGCTTGTCAAGTATTAATAGGAGGCATTAACATAGATGGAAATGACAGGCACGTCTTTCTTGGGATTTCTAGTCCTCCCCCTCCTTTTCCCTGATGCCTGAAATTTGTAGGGACAAAGCCTTTCAAACCATTTTTGAATGAATTGAGATAATGAATTAAAACACCACATGGTGAGTGTTGAACTAGTACAAATCCAAGGGAAGGCAGGTTGGCACTGTCCAAATTTCAAATGTGCTCATGCTTTGACTTCACAATACCACTCTAGGAAAATGTCCTGCAGATCTACTCACCCATGTGTGGAAAATGCCACATTATATAAGGTTATTCATTACAGCAGTGTTTGAAATAGGAAATAATTAGGAATAACCTCAAAGCCATGGATAGGGAACAGATTAACCAGATTATGGAATATTTGTACAGTGGATCTGAGATCAAGGAAACGCTTAATGTATGAACGGGAAAAAGATCCCTAACATGTATTGTGAAGTGAAAAAATGCTAAGTGCTGAACCGTTACAGTTAACTACCATATGTATGATGGAGGGGGAGTAAGGATACACATCTAGAAACTTGTTTTTGATTTTTTTGTTTTTTAAAGATTTTATTTATTTATTTGACAGAGAGAGGGAGAGAGATCACAAGTAGGCAGAGAGACAGGAGAAGCAGGCTCCCTGCTGAGCAGAGAGCCTGATGAGGGGCTCGATCCCAGGACCCTGAGATCATGACCTTAGCCGAAGGCAGAGACTTAATCCACTGAGCCACCCACCCAGGTGCTCCTAGAAACTTGTTGAATAGACTCTAGGATATCCAGGAAACCGATGTTAGTGGTTATGGTTGGGGAGGCTTGGTGGATCTGGCAGATGGGGACAGAAAAGGGAAGAGGACTTTTTATTCCTTCTTTTTTTTTTTTAATTTTTAAGATTTTATTTTTAAAAAAAAGAGAGAAAACATGAGAGAGAAAGAGCAGTGGGGAGGAGCAGAGGGAGAAGCAGACTCCCTGCTGAGCAGGGAGCCCCATGCGGGACTCCATCCGGGGACCCTGGGATCACGAACTGAGCCAAAGGCAGACAGACGCTTAACCAGATGAGCCACCCAGGCGCCCTATTTATACTTATCTCTAAACTACATGAATGGGTTATACAAAATGTTAAATTAACTGCATTTTTAAAAACATCAAATACGAAGAGTTAACCCAGTGACTCTGATTCCTATCAAAGTGTGGGAATTCATTCATTCATTCATTCATTCATTCAATAATCCATTCATTCATTCCATAACCTAGGTAATCAAGAACTTTCTCTAGCAACCAGAGCTAAAACGTGCCAGGCATCATGCTAAGTGCTCTCCTGGACAACATCTCATTTAGTCCTCACCACCTCTCTTTGGCGCAGGTGTCTAGCATCACAGAGGAGGAGACGGAAGATGACAGAAGTGGCTCTGGCGCTAAAGACCATGCAGGTCCCACAGTCCTGGGCCAAGCCCCATTGTGGGCCTGAGAGATGAGGAGACCCAGGCACAAGGCCCGCCCTCTTGGGCGTGTAAAACAGATTCACAGACAGGGCTCGAACAGGGAAGGGAGTGTTAGAGCACAGTGCCTGAGGATTAGGAGACAAAGGGAACAGAGTGGCTGGGGACAAGGAGAAATCCTCTCCCACAATATCCTTTTGCCAAGGACAGGCCCCGTAAGCACTGGAACCCGGCGGCGGCGCCCATGCGAGCGAGCGACAACCCCAGCAGCCTCAGAACCAACAATGAACAAAGGCTGGGGTGCTCTGTAAGAACAGAGGCGATCTGACAACAGCCCAGCTCGTTTGATCAGTGTAGACATCCCTTCTAGACTTTAAAGTCTGAAGTGTTCTCCTTTAGCTGTCTACACAGATCAAATAAGCCGGAGGGCTTCCATATCTTGACGTCGCTTTGTGCTAATCCATAATCTCAGCAAACCATCTGAGCAGAGGCAAAAATAATTCTCACGGGCAAGGATAGGCAGTTCCAGGACAGGAACGTTAACTCCTTGCTGCCCCTTCAGGAGGGAGTGGCTTTTGAAGGGAGTTTCAGCCAGCTTCCCAGAAAGGAGCTTCTGCCCCTCTCCAAAGCGAAGTGGCAAAGCTGTTTTCTCGCCTTGGAGTTGAAAGCCCTTCCTACTCCTGGGCTCGTGCCCCTGTAGGAACACCTTATAGGCAGAATTGACAATTAGTAGCTGTGGTCTGGCTCTCAGAACAGCAACCCTGCCTAGGAAACAGGGATCACCTCACCACGCACGCACCTTTTTATGCAAAGGATTGGTAAAGGGGCAGTCTTACCCCTGCCCCCCTCATGCCTCCAGCGGCAGTGAGCAGCTCAGGAAATCCTTGTGGCACGACTAGGCGCCTAACAACAAACCCACCAGCTAAGTAGCATCGTTACAAAAGATTAAAAATCTCCATGAGTTCTAACATCTTCGTTCCTAGCTGTGGTTTCCATGGAAATAGACATCTGCTCTAGGGAAAAGGGAAAGGTGGGGGGAAGCGGTGTAAGTGCTTTGAAATAATCAGTGTTTTGAAAGATTTATTTTTTTTTCCTGTCACAACATGAATAGTCAGAAACGTTAAGATTTTTGCAGGGCAATTTCTTGTATTTAAAAGAAATACGCATCCAGTGGGTGGGACCTTCCTCTGCAAACCTCCAGTTCAAGTACAAAGACTTCAAGATAAAGGCTGGTTCGGGGATAATAGATGTCTTGGCCTTGGGTTCCGGTGTGGTGCTGGTTTGTGTTGCCTGCCAATCTGTCACTTTCCGGTGAGCTCTCATCCCCACCCTTCTCCAGCCTTTCTGAGATTTTGCTCAGAAAACTGACAGATGGAAACACCTGGCCGTTTGGTGGCTAGGTTTGGTCCCAGAGGACGAAAGTTTTCAGGGATCAGAATCTGAATTATTCCTGGTCTTGCTCACATGCTAAGGGAAAACCACTTCGATTGGGGGCGGGGGAGAGGCTGACCCCACACAAGGGCAATTGTTGGAGAAAATGCCACAACAAGCATATTTCAGGCAACAGCAAATTGCTAATTGTTTGCTTTGTGTGGTGTGTCTGCTGCCTCTATGATCCGGTTTTCCTTGTCTCAGGCACCCAGTAATTGTATTTATCTCTAGCACATCCCCCATGACTGGCTGGACATGGAAAGTCTTTCACAATCAGGACTGTTGTTTCTGCAGAGTTAGTCATATTTGTTTCTTGGTATGGGGAGACTGGACCCATTGATCAATAAAATGAAGTTGTCCTTCCACCCAGGAAGAATCTCAAGAGCAGGTGCATTGGTGTAGTGATCACCTACCACCGGAAGCCCGGAGACACAGCCTTGGTCTGGGGAATGGGAAGAGAGATCTGGAAACCATGTTCAGTTTATTTCTCTTCTGGCCTTTCTGTGGTAAGGAGGCCAGGCATTCTAAGATGGCTCAGGTTAGACCAATTTCCTTTGTGTCTCTGATGTGCTTCTCCTCAAACCAGGCCAGGAGGAACCATGACCTTGTGGTTCTCCCTTTTGTTTTGATTCTTTAAAAGGGCCCAGCACTGCACTGGAGAGCACGTGCTCCAAGAACAAAAGCAACACTTCACCGCAGTCTGGGTTGTCCGGAACTGCTGTTGCTCTTCCTTCCCTATCATCAGGCAAAAGGCTAGGCAGAACAGATGGAGTCTGCATTTAAGCCGAGTAACTGGAGATCAAATTCCAGAGCCTCAACACTTTTCCCCCACGGTTCTCTGGTCACCAGCTCCGGTCCCCGAGTATGGTAGCAAAAACGCGCACCGTGGGGAAGGGCCACGCCCGTGACCTGTTAGGGCTGAGTGGGTAAGGAATGACGATGATGTCACAATGCAGATTGCACGCGGGCGTGGGGCGAGGTAGGGCGCCGGGTTGCAGGGGGGGCCTTACAGGGGCAAAGAGTGCCATTGTCCTGTAACGATGGCTTGGACTTCTTAGGTGGAAGCAAGAGGTGAGGCAATGTCCGGACACTGCGCTGTCCGAATGTTGCCCTTGGGGCGATGCGGGGCACGTGGCTCAACGGAGGAGGAGTCCAGGGGGCCACCCTTTGAGAGGTAGGGAGGGACCCCGCCCCGGCCGGCCCCGCCCCGCCCTGTTCTTAGAGATGGGAGAGGTGGTTCAGACCCAGGCTAGGGGCCACAGTATAGCCCTCTTCCGCGGTCAGACAATTACCCCGGCCCCCTGCTCACATCTGGGTAGACCCCCAAATGCCCCCTATCCCTCGCATTGTTCCCCTACAGCGCCAGGCTGGACTACACTTCCCGAGGTGCTCGGGGGTCCCGAGGGGCGGGGCACCTGGGCTGTGGGGGAGGGGGCGGCACGTGCCGCGGGTTTCAGCCAATGGAGAGCTTGGCAGGGAGGTCACGTGCCGCTGTTTGGCGCTTTTGTGCGCGCCCGAGTCTGTTGGTGCTCAGAGTGTGGCCAGGCGGCTCGGACCGAGCAGGTGGGTGCGGGGCTCAGGGAGGAGGCGGCTGGAGGCTGGGGACCTGCGAGAGGGATGCGGCGGGCGGGAGGGGACGGGCCGTGGTAGCGGCCCCCTGCCGGAGGGCGGCGGGCGTGGCCGCGGGCCCTAAGTGGGACTGGCGGGCGGGGGGCGTTCTGCTTTGTGTGTGGCTCGGGCGGAGCCTCGGCTTTGTCCCGGCTCCCTGGGGGCGCGGCTACCGTGGGGAGGGGGCGCGGCCAGCTGGGCAAGCCCCGGGCGTTAGCCCTGGGTGCCGTCGTGGAGACAATAGGGGGCGTGGGCCCTCGTTTGCCTCCCTCCTTTTCCTCGCAGGTTCAGCCCTGCTGGGGTCCCCATTGTCTGAAGGGGCGGGGCGGCGCCTCCAGAGGGCAGCGGCCTTAGCGTCGGACTGCGGGCGGCTAGGGACACTCCCCTTCCCCTCTGTCGCCTTCGCCCAGTGACTAGGACCGAGCCCAAGACTGACACCCCACGAGAGCCATCCTGTCCTCGCGGCGGGGGGGGGCGCGGACAGCTAGCGTGGAGGCGGGGTGGGTGGGAGTGAAGGGAGGAAGTGGCGGGCCGATGCCTGAGCTACCCCACGGCCGGTTCCCCGGGCCTGCCCCACCCGCCGAGCTGCTGCGGGGATTCGGGGGGGCCTCGAGATGTTTTTGGCGGGAGTTGGGGGGGCGTCGGCGTGTGGGGAGCCCGGGAAGGGCGGAGTTACCCAGATAGGACCGTTAGCCCCGCCTATCCCTCCCCTTCCCACGCGCGCGGGCTCAGGGGTGTTGTGAGTTCGGGGAGATTCGAAAAGGCGCGGGGAGGAAGGGGGCGGGGCCAGGGGCCGGAGCACAGGGCGTGCTCTGATTGGCCGGGGGCGGCCACCCGCTTTTCCTCGCTTGGACCGGGGCCACGCCCATCCTGGGTCCGGTGCTGCGTCTCATGCTCTGCCGGGGTGAGACGGTTTCGCGGCTTAGGGTTTTAATTTCCAGCTGTTGGAACCTGCAGTCTTAGGTTTTCTGACTGGCCTGAGGTGTACAAAGATAATGACCTTAAACAAAATCAAGGAGGGTTGTAGAATTTTTCATGATAAAAGGCAGCAAATATTATAACCTATAACCTGGAGGTTCATAAAACTGATTAATTTTGCTCGCTGTTGAATAAGGAGCTTAAGCCCCTAGAACAATAGGAGTTCAACATACTGGTTAATATTAGCTTGGGCGTTTTGTTTTCCACCATGGCAGACGCAGACAAAGCAGGGGTGGGCATTTCATTTGCACAATGAGTTGTAGGCAGTATTAAGATGGCTCCGGTCTCACTGTTGAGTTGACTCTGGAAGATCTCTTCGCCGTTTGGGAGGGGAAATTTTTAGGAGTTTTAGGGCAAAAAAAAAAAAAAAATGTTGTGACTTAACGTCGTCTAATTTTTAAAATCCAAGATGTTTTTTGAGCAGGCAAGCTCAGTTGATTCGATTTTCTGTAACCAATGTTCTATTCAGTTCAAATTTACCAATGTTTCGGTATTTTCTAGATTTTTATGATTTTCTATGTAATGATGTCTTACTTAATTCCATGGTAGTGATTTTTCTGACACTGATTTACGTGGATGTGATTTGAGGTTCCTTTGGATCAATGACCTAGAAATGCAAAGAAATTGATCGCATGCTTTTGAAAATCCTTTTCAGGGTTTTCCTTGCCAGTGGATTGTGTAGAATACACTGCCAGTCTCTTGTCTTCTGTTCACCATGGCTTCTTCTGGTAGGTAATCTATTTGGAAAAGCTGAATTGTGATGGGTTTAGGATTTTATAATAGATGGATTCAGGTCTGAAGCCATTAATTGAGCAGTTGTATTTTGGTCTTATCAAAAAACCCATTATATAAATCAAAGAATAAAGAAGAAAAATTATCACTTGAATGTACTGAAGAGCTCCTAATTGTTTCATTATATAATGATTTGGCTTGGTCTAGAGCAAAATTGTGGAGTTTTGCACAAGTCTTCCTTTTGTTTATGAAAGTGATTGTCAGACACATATCTCAGAATGGTATTTTTTAATCCAAAAATATTGAGCTTTGGTTTTATGGGAGGCAGTATTTAGATAATCTCTTGCCTGCAAACACAGCTTCTTCATCAGCCTGAATTCTATTCATTAAATTGATTTGGTTTATAGGAAATTACAGGATAGTTTATTAGAATAGGAAAACCCCATTTTTCTGAATACATTATGAATATGATCAAATCCAGATATCCAGGTGAAAGAACTGGAGAAGCGTGCTTCAGGCCAGGCTTTTGAGCTGATTCTCAGCCCTCGATCAAAAGAATCCGTCCCAGAATTCCCCCTTTCCCCTCCAAAGAAGAAGGATCTTTCCCTGGAGGAAATTCAGAAGAAATTAGAAGCTGCAGAAGAAAGACGCAAGGTAAACATCACAATTCACAGAAAACAGGATATTTATTTATGTAATGTGGCGAATCAGTTTTATTTCCATAAGAGGAGGAAAACAGAATTGGAGCTAGATGGGATTATAATTGTGACAATTACATATGCCAGTAGCTAGGAGAAAATGCCAGGCATTGTTTACTGAGCTCCCTATTATGTACCAAGTCCTTTACTTTGTTTTTCTCCTTTAACTCAATGACCCTAAAAGGGTAGATGTCTGAGATACTGAGATGAGAAAATGGTCTCGGAAATGTCATTTTCCCAAGTCCTATAGCTATGAGCATTGGAGCCAGAATTCAAGCTTAGGTCTGTCTGAAACCAAAGTTCCGGCTTCTCTTGCTTTCTCTTTGAAAAATAGATTTGTTGGTGGATGATTGTTTTTTTCTTTCCCTCCCCTCCGCCCCCCGTTTGGTTTGGTTTGTGTGTGTGCCTGCGTGGTTTGTTTTTTTTCCGAGAGCTGTACAATAAAAACATTTTAAATTGCTGGTAATGTGATTGTGTTGCTCAACTGGCATGATAGTGAGGCAGCTTGTCTCTTATCTGAGCAATTCTATAAAATACCCATTTTTAAAAACAAATCAGAAAAGGGGTGCCTTGGGTGGATCAGTTGATTAAGCGTCTGACTCTTGATCTCAGCTCAAGTCTTGATCTCAGGGTCTTGAGTTCAAACCCCATGTTACCACTGAGTGTGGAGCCTACTTAAAAAAAAAAAAAAAGAACAACCCAAATCAGAAAGATCAACAAATACTAATATGCTTATTGTACAAAAATTGGGAATCAGAAGTTTATACATAGGAAATTAAAAGTATTCATTATCCTACTTCCCAGAAATAACCATTGTTAACATTTTGGTGCATTTCCTTCCATTCAGTATTATTTTCATGAAGAGCTTTATATAAATTCTCATTTATTCCCTTCCAATAACCCTGATTAAGGTGAGTGGGTTTAATTTTAAAATTAGGGAGGGGCGCCTGGCTGGCTCAGTCAATAGCACAAGTGGCTTTTGGATCTTGGGGTTGTGAGTTCAAGTCCCATGCTGGGTATAGAGTTTAAATTAAAAAAAAATGTTTTTAATAAAATAAAATGAAGGAAAGTAGGCACAAGAAGGTGAGGTAGTAACCTGCCCCTGACCAACAGTTAGTGCAATGTAAAGTCTGACACATCTGACCACACACTGCTGTAACATGTGCCCTGTATGTTTCAGTGCCACGTGCGTATTTGCGCAGAGCCGCTGTTGGCACCGCCATTCATTTCACCAGGAAGGGCGGCAGAGTTCGCAAGGGAGCTTTGTCTGCTACCAGCTTTTCTGCACCGATTGAACTCTTATGGGGGATGACAGAGTTTTGTGGACTTTTGAGTTTGTGAGGAAATGCAGCGAATGGCTGGACAGAGAAATTTTTAAGGAATCCACCCTGGCCCTGTAGTCACTAACCTGTGCTTTATATAGTGGAACTCGGGACTGGGATACTGCAGAAGAGAGTGAACAGAACCAGTGGCAGGTGCTCTGTAGTTCTCCTGCCTCAGTGATGCTTCCAGGCACGTCAGAGTCTGTGTGGTAACACGCTCTTGCGTGTTGGTTCTGTTGAAGGCGGCGAACTGTGGTTAACCGCTCCAATGGCCTGGAAGTGACTGCAGCTTCCAGAGAGAGAAGCGATGAAACTTTTCTATGACACTGAAATCCCCTTGGCTCAAATAGTAATCTGGGGGCTTAGTCTTAAATTCCCTATCATTCACGTTTTTTCTTTTTATCGATATGCTTACATTTTTTATAATCGAACTTTCTTCAGGTGGACGTTGAAGGTCAGTAACCAGTTCTTGACAGTATAGCTCCATTCCTCTGTGTGCATGCTTAATGGTAACTGCTTGTTACCATTAAGCAGTAAATCTTACAGGGATTCCCTTAGAGAACAGTGGGGCAATACTCTGGACAAACCTGGGCAGTTGTCCAAAGTAAATACGAACACTAGAAAAGAAGGTGATTTTCACAGTATTTTGATAACAGACGATTCAGGCCCTGGCTTAGGTTATATTTAAGGAGATCTTAATTTCTGCCTCTTTTCAGTCCTCCCAGTTAATAACAGGGTTTTTTTTTTTGGTCAAAAATGTAATGCTCAATAAACTTCAGAGGGTCTAGCCTGTTAAACATTTTTCAGTCCCATGAAGCCGAGGTCTTGAAGCAGCTGGCTGAGAAGCGGGAGCACGAGAAAGAGGTGCTTCAGAAAGCCATAGAGGAGAACAACAACTTCAGTAAGATGGCGGAAGAAAAGCTGACCCACAAAATGGAGGCCAACAAAGAGAACCGAGAGGCCCAGATGGCCGCCAAACTGGAGCGCTTGCGGGAGAAGGTCGGTGGCCCAGCTTTGCTTTGAGAGGGTTGAGAGCTTGAAGTCTCCACCCGTGAGGTGGCTCGAACTAATGGCCTTGATCGAGGCATTGGGTGTCTCTGTCCCCAGTTTCGGGACTCAACACATTAAACAAGAGGTATCTTATTTTAAAATAAGATGGAATAGAGGCACCTGGCAGGCTCCGTCAGCAGAGCGCTCGACTCTTGATCTTGGGGTTGTGAGTTCGAGCCCCACGTCGGGTGCCGAGATTACATAAAAAATAAAACCTTGAAAAAAGAATAAGGTGGGGGTATTCAGTGATTTCCAGAAAAATTGTATATTCTTTGAAAGAGCCGAGGAGGTTCAGTCATCAGAGTCCATGGGTGACCCAGGGAAGTTTGAAGATAATGTTTTAGAACCCTGTGTGCTTCCCACTAATATATGATATACACCCAGATGCCGCCATCAGGCCTGTTGCAGGGTGCACGGCTCGCCAGGCTTTGTGATTTGACTGACTGACGAATGCTGTTTCTTTCCAGGACAAGCACATTGAGGAAGTGCGGAAGAACAAGGAATCCAAAGACCCTGCTGATGAAACTGACGCTGACTAATTTGTTCTGAGAACTGACTTTCTCCCCTTCCCCTTCCCAAATATCCAAAGACTGTACTGGCCAGTGTCATTTTATTTTTGCCCTCCTGACAAATCTTCTAGAAGCTGATGTAGGACTGTATAGGTAGATCCAGATTGTATGATGTTGTTTTCGGGCCTAAAGGGGAGAAACGGAAAGTGTTGTACTCTTTTTCTAAAGTGTTGAAGTCTTTCTAATGTAGCTACTTTTTCTCGTTGCATCTTTTCTACTTCAGTGCACCTGGCGTACTGGGTTAACGGCTAGTACTGTATTGGCTCTGTGAAAACATGTTCGTGAAAAGAGTATGTAGTGGCTTCTTTCAAATTGTTAGATGCTGAATATCTGTTCACTTTTAAATCCCAATTCTGTCCCAATCTTACCAGATGCTACTGTACTTGAATGGTTAATAAAACTGCACAGTGCTGTTGGTGGCAGTGACTTCTTTCTGTACAGGTAATAAACTGTGAAGTGACAGAGACCCTTCTAGCTTCTGTTCGTTCCAGATGGGGCCTTCGGCCTCCAGAAATAACCCAGCGCACGCGTCGCTGCAAGTTCTCTGCCCTGGAGTTTCTTGCTCCCGAGTCCTTTGCATTGTCTTCTCCCACAATTGTCACTTTGTTTTGATGCCTCGGCCCAGATCAGCTGCTACGATAGTCTTTCAGATGTTTATTTGCAAACAAGCTTATTTTTGTTCCCGTGTCCCCATTAAAAAGGCAGATTGAAGGCACACGGGGTTTCTGGGGAAGGGTTTAGGGGAAGTCTCGAGATCCTGGTTAGAGGTATTGGACAGCTCCCTGGCTTCCTGGTACAGGTCAGGGTAGGATGTGACCTGTCATACTTTCCTGCCATAGAAGCCAGGACTCCAAAATCGGAATATTTGCTATCATTCTCTGGGCCCATGCAGCAACCTTTGGTGCAGCGGTTAAAAGGAACCTTCTTTTCCAGAGTAGCCTGTGATTTGGGTGGTTTGGGTTGGCATCTCCTCCATCTTGTATCCAGAGGTTATAATATTCACCATTGTCGGAGCATTGCCTTTCAATTCAGGGAAAGCCTTTGGCAGCTTTCCTAGGCTATTTGGGAAATAGCCTTAATTGCATATGATTATTTGCTTCTCAGACATCTGCGTAAAAGCTCTTGGAAGCCGTGCACCTCAGTGAGAAAGCGTGCCGGGTGACAACGCCGGGGGAGGGTCTACTGGGTGCTGGGCACGGACTGCCTCAGTTCCGGCTTTGTCTTTGGTTTGGGTTTTACCATCTCAATCTTACTCCTATGTTGTTAGGGTGTGTGTGTGTGTGTGTGTGTGTGTGTTTAGAAGGCACTGTTAGAACCCTGCTTTAGTATCTAGCACGCATCTAAATGACAGCTATTACCAGGGGCTAGTGAGTGAGCTAATTTTATCCTCTTAAGTTGGAAAGGATCTCACGGCTTTTTGTGTGCCTTGAATTGACTTCCACATTTACCTCAACCAAGATCGTAGTTATAGGAAAAAGCTGAATGTCAGAGTCTAGCCACGCAGGGCAAACAAGATCAAGTGTAGTTTAGCCGAATGCTAGTTCAGACAAGAAAGAGGACAGAGTGAGACTTTTGTGCAGGAGCTCAGCGTCATTCATTCCCAGCCCCTGGCACATCGCAGGTGTTGGAGGCTCGCACAGGTGACGGGATGCCCACAGGGGTCTTTTAGATGCCAGTTTCGAGCAGCTGGGGTGTGAAGACCGTGGGAAGATAGAAACTTGGGGTAATGTTACTGGGTGTCCTAGAGATGGCTGTAGACTTGTTCATATAGGATCTGTAGGGAAGGGAACAGAACTCAGGGGAGAGCAAGAAGAGTCAAGGTGGCCTGAGGGGAGGATACCCCAGTGGGTTCCCCCCAACCCCATGCTGGCTCTGACTTACCATCACAGGGGTGTTGGGTTCCCACTTCGTGACAGTGATGCGTCACAGGGAACTGAATGGCGGATACAGCTTCCCCGTGTCGTCAGAAATCCTGGCTTGCTGTTTTACCTCTGATCTTTGGAGAGGCACTTAGTTCTGGGCCTCCATTTTCTCCTGGACAAAAAGGAGAAGGCTGAACTAGGTTAGTTAAATTGTTTTTACTCTTGGCATATAACTTGGAGGAAAGGAATAGTGGGCACCCGTGACTTCTGGGGAGCGCATGTGCTTCCCCAGCCTTGGTGTTTTCTGTCCTGGCCTCTAGTGCGCATGTCTCGTGGGGGATGGGGGCGGGGGCAGCCTCCCCCACCAGCCCTTCAGGCACAGCTAGCCTGGCAAGGCCAGGAGGTCTGACCTCAGCCTGGGGGCCGTCGTCAAGGAGCCCGCTCCATTCCTTCTGGCTTGAGTGGAAAATGAGGTCTGTCCCTTCCTCCTGAGACTCCTGTACTTAGATGTGGTGCTTGACTGGCCTTGGTGGGAAAGAGATTCGAGGGATGTATCCCAAGCACCTGCAGTGTGTTACACACTGGGCTGTCCACTGGGGATGAAAATGGGGGCCCGGTGCAGCATGTGCTGACAGGGAAGGGGACGAGAGTTGTAGAACACTTAGCCGAGAGTACTGTTCTCGGCCAGAAGCTTGTACTCACCAAGTGGGCTTTAGTGGTTTGGCGAAGGCGTAACCACAGGCTACGGTGGCCTGGGAGGCCCAAAAGAGGAGGAAAGACTCGAGCCAGTCCTCCGAGGGGTCAGATAGGGACCCCAGCACTTAATAATGAATGAAGCCCTGGACAAGCACGCAAGTGGGGGACCCGCCAGTGTTACTAGTTCATGGCAGGAGCTCAACAAAGAGCCCTTCTCCATTTCTCCGGTCCTAAGCAATGAAGAGCCGTTGGAGGCTTTAGAACATGGGGACGGTAGTATTCAGTGAACAAAGGCCTTCTGAGGGAGAGAAAGGGGAGGTGGGGCAGGATGGACTGGAGTGAATTCTCAGGAGCGGCACAGGAATCCTGTGATGAGTGTCTGACGTGGAGGGGAGCACTGAGACCACCACCTCCCGGAAACCTGCCGCTGAACCTGGGAAACAGGAGGAGGAGAAAGAGGCCATTCCACAGCTGACGGGGGCATTGGTGTCCCTCATGAGCTGCTGTTGACTGAGCGGTTAACTCTCCAGCGTGTTTATGTAAGTTGGCTCCTGGGGTCCTGCCCTGTGAGGTAGTACAGATGGTTCCATGGTGCAGTGGAGGTGAGCAAGGTTAGGAAGGTTTGACTGGGCCGAGCCTCGGAGCTGGCAAGTGTCCAGGCGCAGTCAGCCTCCAGGCCCTGCGTGCAGAGGGGGCTGCTCAGGCCACTCACCTCTCTGTTGTCCCCCACAGTTTCCGGATCCCCAGACTCCAGCCATGCCACCCTCCTCAGAAAGGCAGTTGGTGACCATCTCTGGTAATACTGGGGAAGAGAGGTGTCTCCCCCCCCCCACCACAGTCCTTTATAAAACTGTCCGTTTTTACTGTGCGGATTATTCTCCCAGTGCAAAGTTCTGGTTTCCAGTGATATCTTAGTGGTCCTAGTAAGTCTGTCCTCTCAGCTAACGGTTTGGCCACCTTACTGTTAATTCAGTTTGTCTGAATCACTATTCAACACAATTCATTTAGGAACAAGAAGATGAAAGCTGGGCTCCTTAAAAGGAGTGATTTCCCCTTTGGGTGGAAGGTTAGATTAGGTGCCCCAGAAGCTCCCTTTCAAATCCAAGACTGTGGTTCTGGGTCTTCTCTACCTGCTGAGACCATAGACCCCCGAGGCCAGGAACCATGTCTCGATCACTGAGGTTTCCCCTACTGAGTGCTTCAGTCTCTTGCCATCTGCCTCCTACCTCTTGGTCCAGGTCAGACAGAAGGTCCTAACAGTCCTGTGGCTATATCAGCAGAGCTGGTGTTCTGTACTGAAGGGGCCCAGGGAAGATTTTTCTGGCTTGTTTTATACATGCACCCAGATTTTTAAAGCTTTGTCATAAGGCTTGAAGAGCTCAAAATGCCGCAACGTCAGTGGAGGGGTCTGGTGCATAGCTGGAAAGGCATAGCCTTCTCCCAGCGTGGTGGTGAGCAGTCCCTTCCCCGTCCTTGGGCACCAAATCCTACTGGGCTGTGAAGTGGATGGAGGGGGTAAGAAACAGAAGCAGGAGATTAGCCAGATGCCCATGACCACCACCTCAACAGAATCGAGGGGACCAGGGAGACTGAGCCTCTGTAGGTACAGGAGGCCTCTGGCCTGGGCCTTCCACTCCCCTTGCTGGCAAGAAGCCCCAGTATCACTGGGATGGGGGTGGGGGGCATGGGTAGGGACTGCTGAACCCAGCTCCCCTCTTAAGTGCAGCAGCTTACTATTTGCATGATTTCAGTGAATCCCTGGAACAACCCTATGATGTTATCGTGCCCATTTTACAGGCAAGAAATGAGGAGGCAAGTGAGACTCAGTTTTGTCCAAAGTGACACACCTAGGAGTGTGGAGTCAGGATTCAAAATCTTTTTTTTTTTTTTTTTTTAAGATTTTTATTTATCTGACAGAGAGAGAACACACAAGTACACAAATAGAATATCAGGCAGAGGGAGAAGCAGGCTCCCTGCTGAGCAAGGAGACTGATGTAGGTCTCAATCCCAGGACTCTGGGATCACAACCTGAACCAAAAGCAGATGCTTAACTGACTGAGCCACCCAGGTGCCCCTCAGGACTCAAACCTTAACTTTGAACCCCCAGCTCTACTGCTGCTGCTTACGTATCACATAACAATGATTACGCAATTACTTGTTTCAAGTATGTCTCCCCAGCTAGAAGGAAGGTTCTCAGTGGGGACTGTGCCTTCGCATTCACCACTGGATCTCCAGCTCTGAGACCAGCATGAGGTGGGAGGTTAACATGTGTTGGGGCGCCTAGTGGCGCAGTCGGTTGAGCATCTGACACTTGGTTTTGGCTCAGGTTGTGATCTCATGGTCTTGAGATCAAGCCCCATGCTAGGCTATGTGCTCAGTGTGGGGTTTCCTTGGGATTCTCTCTACCTTGCCCTCTGCCACTTTCTCTCGTGCTCTCTCTCAAATAAATCTTTAAATAAATCAATATGTGCTGAATTAAATCATTATGAGTGGGTGGGTGACTCTTGTGGTCCACTAGGGGCACCTGCTTTGTGTGGTACACAAAGCAGTTCCCATGGTTCCCATGGGGTCCACTTTTTTTGTGTGGACCCCATGGGAAGTCAATTGGATTTTCTAGAAGCAGAGGATGGCTCTGCCCCAATTTGCAGATTGGCCTCAGAGTTGCCCTAACCCTTGATGACATCCTTTCAGATCCAGAGGCACCAGCTGGTGGCCTGTAGCCAGAGTCGGTCTGCGGGCAGGTTGTGTTCAACCCAGGCTGTTTAAATTTTTGAGTGAGTGGACAATTAATTCCACTTCAAAATCTGATTTCAGGATTGTCTTAAAAAGCCTGGAGAATCTGACAACCCTGGACACTAGGTCCAGCTC